ATGGTCGAATGAAATTGAAGCTGCACCTTTAGTTGAAATTTTTGTTACCGCTAAATGTCTTTTACCCCGATGTAAGTTAGACTAATAATCATCAGCAACTAGAATTCTGTGAGCTCATACGTGTGAATACTGTGGCCAATCTTAATGCCGCCTTGACATAATTATTATTCATCACTAATATTCAATCTACGTGAGCCACTTGCCTCGTAGTGAGCAAGTGCGTCATTTACCGAGGAGCAAGCGAGCCGCTTCCGGACATGATGACTTCGATGCTATGTATGCCGAGTCAAAGGCTGTTGGAGCAAAACAAGCAGCCGGAACGTTTTCGGAGGTACCTGAAAGAACTTTACAACAGGATTCGGGAAGATTTACAGTGCCTTACGTTTCTGCTTGGGCGGGCCCGTGCCATGCTCAGTATAAGGGAGGCCCATTTCAGTAACTGGTGACGGCGAGCCCGCTGTGCTGAGCGAAAAGTGTATTTTGGCAATCCCCTCTTGAAGGTGCACGAAAGTTATGAACCACACAGCGCACAGTTTATTTCGCATTATTTCCTCCCTCTCCTTCTTTCTCATTTCTCAATACTTAGTTTATGCCTCCTGCAGGTAGGTCAGCGTGGTGCCACTCCCAGCAGCAGCTTCGAACCTTCATTCAAGTTTTCATAACCAATTATTACAGCCATAAAATGTGCAGACAAAAAGAACTGGATATGATCCTCACAGACAGCATTAGCTTTAATGAAATTTTGTCGAATCCGGTTGAATTGCTGCTTCAAAATGCAACGTTTCCTCACTGAAAATGCTTCCTCACAGTGACTTTTTTCTTTTCTTTTTTTTATGGAGCAGAGATATAAACTTACTAACTCATCCTGTACAAGTTGATGCAGAATAAAAATAAGGCATGGTTGTTTTTCTTTTCTCACGTGACTACCCAAGTATATGGTTGAGGATAAATGGTCAGACACAAACATCAATCCACCTGCCACTCAGGAAGCCCTATTTTGATGCTGCCAGTCGAGCTTTGCCTACAGACAGTTTCTCGAAACAGAAGGGGCGCTGCTACGGTTCCAATGTCTCTACGACACTACTACGTCTAGTGCAAGAGTAAGCTTTCTGGCACAGCAAAAATATATATGAGGTAAAGCGTCCCGCCCCTTCAGTTTGATGGTCTACCACACCTGTGGAAGACGAAAACCTCATCAGCTGAGTTTCTAGTTTCGTGTAAATATTGTTGATTAATGAACTTAAATGAACCTGTCACGGACGGCTATTTTTGGCGACACCGCGTCACGGCAATTAACGGGCGCCGTACTCCCCGACTGACCGTGAGAAACGGCGGCACATGAAAGGGAACCGATAAGTGCAAAATGGGGTGCTCTACTTAGAACGTCGCCGCCGACAGTCAATCCCTTTGTAACTGTGGCGACGTCTGCAAGGTCGTAGAAGGCCGCGGTATACCCCGGACAAGGATTAGACTACAAGACGCCCGGCTGAGAGCTAAGTGGTTGACCGTTCCCACGGGGAAAAGCGTGGGAAACGCTCTGGTGGCCAAGCCGTATGACAACAACCCGACAGGTTGTCACTCTCGCTAGTTGCGGGCCCTCTCCCAATTAAAAAGGGGTGGGGTCAAAATATTTTTTGGGGCGGAGTTTCCATCAATTAAACGCGCATGATTGGACCCATGTAGAGGTCTCTTGTCCCCAAGGAAGAGAGCGAGGAGACACGAGGGGGATTTAAGCGCAGGTATTTGCCCTGCTAGGCAGACTAGTCGCTGACCAAGATGGTGTAGAAACAGATCAACAAGCATCTCTTCTAGAAGTTTTTAGTGTGGCTCTGTATCGGCTGGCCACCTAAACTTAGCCGTTCGTCTAGTTGTGACGCGATATTAACGTCTGCAACGTAGACATCAGGACTTCGCCTCGAGTTAGCTCAACCTGCTCGAAGTCACCTGCAAGCACTAGCCTCCCGGAGCCACCAGCGTTGCAACACCGCCGACATCGCAGTCGTGCCAGAACTTTCTTCGACTTCTCGCATCCGATCGTCGGGGACACAACGCTGCCGGTCATCACACGTATGGCTTCACCTGTTTATATCTTCGAACTTTCTCCTCCGTCGTTCTATTCTTGTTAGTTTGTGTAGTTTGTAATAGTTCTCTCTCGTAAGCTGATTTATTGTTTCTGTTATATATTTCTTTAGTTGTATCAAGTGTCGATGTATTTTGTTAGTTGTATTGAAGTGTTGTATTAGATCCCGTGTTGCTGCAATATCACTAGAGTAAAGTTTGTTTTGTTTTCCCACGTCTCTGATCTCTTCACTGTCTCTGCTTGCGTACGGAACGAACCAACCTGCTGTCATTCCCGTCGCCGACTTCGCGCTGGCGACGCTAGAGTGGCAGCTTGTAACAAAACTGGCGTCCGCGAGACAGGACGTTCCGTTCAAGAGTAAGACAGTGAGGGGTGAACGAGAACCGTGCGGATAGCGTGCTATAAAGCCGCACAGTTGAAGCGGTTGCATCCTGCAATGATTGCGCTGTTTTTATAGTGGCATTATAGTGACAGTTGCAGTATGGAGTGTATAGATTTGGATAAGTGGATCGCGTACGGTAAATAGTTAGGCCTCGAGGGCGCCGAACTGAGACAATGGGTTAAGGAGCAGCAGGAACAGGCGCAGGCGTTAGCCAGAGAAGAGCGGGCACTGGCCCGGGAGGAAAAAGAAAGGGAGAGAGAACGGGAGGAAAAGGAAAAAGAAAGGGAGAGAGAGCGCAAAGAAAAGGAGAGAGAGCGCAAAGAAAGGGCGAAAGAACGAGAAGAGGCAAGGAAAGCGGCAAGGGAAGCCGGAGAACGGGAAGTGCAGTTACTGCAATTAGAGATTCGCCTCAGTGAGGGTAGCAGGGTGAGCCGATCCAGCAATGAGCACGGCGATGCCGGCGAGGAACTGTCAGTTGAGCGAGACACATGGTGTCAAGGGCTACTCACGGGTCTGCCTTGCGAGGCAAATGAAGCTGTTGCGCGACTCGGTCAGCAGAACGCGAACAACTACAAGGTAGTTAAGGCAGATATGCTCCGGATGTTCGGAACTTCTGTCTGGACAAAAGAAGAGCAGCTCAGACAAGAGTCTGAAAGAGAGCGCGAAGCAGAAAGACAAGAGTCTGAAAGCAAGGCGCGTCGGAAAGCGTTGGACATTGAAGCGCGTCATGAAACGCCAGAACCAGAAATCGCGCTAGAAAAGGGCCCGCATATTCTCGAATGCATCCATATAAATGATGTAGAGAACGAGGCCTTGGCCGGTCTCGAAGTAGAGACAGTATCAAAAAACGGTCCTAGCGAGGATGAGGTGTGTGCCAGCAGCCCTAATGGACTCAGTAAGAAGCTGGAAACCATCCTCATGCCTCGAGAGGACGTCTCGAGATCGTCACATGCAGATAGGGTTAGTACAGTGGCTAAACACAGCGAGCACGGCGACGCTAGAGTGGCAGCTTGTAACAGAACCAGTGTATCACTGTGGCCACGAGATGTCCAAGAGTGGGCAAATTTTGGCTGAATTACACATATCAATGTGCGCCAAAGCTTCCACGGATGAATATTTTCACATCTATTCACCACTGAAATTGATTACCTTGACCAGAATTGAAGGGCACAACCTCGTTCCCTTTAGGCCCGTACCACACAATGGCGAACCACAACCGATTTCCGATATTGCAAGGCTAAATACTACTGATTGACTATGACACCAACCCCGTATCATTTCAAGCACACAATGGGGCTTCTTTGACGACAGTACACATTAGCAAGTTCACTTAATTTTTGCCTCTGTAATAACAGTTCAGTTTATGTGTGATAAATGGTGTTGCAGGCCCACATCATTCATCTGAATGTGACATCTTGTGAACCAATCCACAAGATGCCACACCCCATCATTCCTTTCAAAGAAACAGCAACAATGTTTTCTGAACTTGACCGTTCATTTACTTGACCATTCGTTTAAGAAGATACAGGATAAGCAGAGGCTGCTTCACAACTTCTCTGCCCCTTCTCTGATCATGCTGCTAGTTTGATGGAAATGTAAGGATGAAAAGCTGTAATGCAGCAGAAAACCTAGTAAAAGGTTCCAAGGGGCACTACAACACCATCAGTGGAAACCTACCGAGTCCATAACCAGATGTTGCGTCTGTGACATATCACCGTTGGCTCTCATCCGCAAGGATAGTACCTGTTGAACTTATAGCTGCCACTTTTTAAACACCACCACATTTCACCTTGCACATTTTTTCGGTCATTCTGGTGGAGTCCAAGGAGTATAATTTTTACAATGCCTAGGAATGCATGCATTTTGAAAAGTAAGACCATATGAATTTTATTGTAGAAATATTTAGAAGACTTGTCACTGCTGTGATAGGGCTGCAACTTACAAGGCATGAAATGTGGCTGCATGAAACTGAATGTTGCTGGATGCCTATTGCTGACAATCACTAAGCACTCCCATTGTCAATACTTTGTCCATGTCCACACATGGCCTAACTAAACTGTACGAGCATTCAAGAAATGGGGCTATTAAGAATGGCATTATTTTAAAGGGAAATAATATATTTCACTCAATGCATGGACCTAAAGTAGATTATTTGCACTCGTACCTACAAATAATTGTTAACCAATTCATGAAGTCACGAGGCAGCAGACTGTATTTAAACAGCTATTTAGGAATTTAGTGTCAACTAAATGATTACAGTACACTCATGAAAAAAAAATACAACAGAAAGTAGAACATGCTTTCCTGCATGCAGCCGCAGCCCTTCCTGCTTCCAATTGTCATACCAAAGCACTTGTCTGCATATATTTATTGTTTATGTGGTTCCTTGATAATATTACCCGATCTGTGTTTTTTTTCTTTCTATGCTTCGTTTCTTCTCGACCCCTGTTTTTTTGTCGGTGTACTATTGGAGTACTTTGTACTTGGTTATCGTTCAAACAACTATGTATGATTGTTCTATGCCGTACTGCTGTGTTCAGTGATTATATGTTCTTTATTATTCTGATTTTTTTCGTTTCAAACATCAAATGTTGTGACAGTGATGCTCACCCCTGTAATAATCCCCATGGGGGATCGACAGTATTCTGTAAATAAATAAAAATAAAGAACCTGCAAAATAAAATTGTCTTGCTTGGTCTTGAGCACATTCCATAATTCAAGGCTTCACAATAATCTAACTTCTTCTAATACCTTTGTTTTAGAGAGTGCTCCCACCCAAAGCCCCACCGACAGTTAGATGTGAAAGTCAATGCATTAAGTCCAAGCGAGACACTTTCCATAAAATCATGTTCTTGTATGACACTGAGTAATGAAATGTATTTATGATCAGGCTACACGCAAGGTGGCTGTAGCAGTACTTTCATAAGTGATTTTTTACTGTGTTTTTACGCCCGATTCGTTCACACAATATAATGCCCAAATTAGCATGTTGGCTTGAAGTTATATAGTGGTGGATAGATATGTATTAATGTTGATGACCTAGGGTTAGTTAACATGTACCAACACACAAGTATGCAAGAGTATTCTTACTGCATTTCAATCAAAATTTAGCATCTCGTCAACGAACCAAACCGACAACATTGTGCTTGGATACCAACACATCTTTTACCCCACCACACGAGCACTATAAAAGTCAAAGAACTGTAGAGTGCCTGCGTGGTGAGGTGGGAACATCTTTTGAACTGGCGTTCATGTGCAGTGACACAAAACAAAAGAGTACCTTCCACCCAGCAAAATTCTAATGTGATAAAGCAGATCGCGCATTTGCTCTTGGAAATAAAAGGTCGTCTCTCGGCACATACAAAATGCACAGCTAAAAAATCCCCCTTTTCAATGAAGGCTCATTGGGTGCAGTCGTAATACCCTCTAAGGTGGTTGTAAATATGCATGAAACCCCAAAAATGAACTGTCGAGGCAATGCTTCTTTTTCTACTTCAAATTCGTTTGAGGAATATAAGCAAATTGAGGAGGCCACAAACCACCTAGAGAGTTTGGTTTGGTGCTGTGCATCAATGGAAACAACTTCTCTTTGCAAAGTCTTTAAAAGCAATGAAATGGACTTACTGCAAAGTACTTCACATTCGCCCATGTGTCAGGAGTGTAACTGTTTCAATGCAGTTGGTAAAGCCAGGTACCTGTTAACTAAAATGGCAACACTTTTAGTGCTGTGAAGATGAAACGAAAAAAGTTGGCATTCCTAAATGTCATAAAGAGGGAAATTGAAAGGTTTTATGAGTAAAACCACAACACAATTATGAGGGGCACATTGTAATAAAGAACCGCATCATCATCACCGCATCATTTCTGATCACCCAGGGTTCTTTTTAAGAGCATTTAAAACTAGGTACATAGATGTTTTGCAATTTATACCATATCTAAATGTGGCCGCCACTGCCGGGAATAGAAGTCATGCCCTCGAGTTTGGCGCCATATTGCCTTAACTTCTAAATTACTGCAGTGAGTTTCACATAAGAAAATAGCTATACGATAGAACAAATCTGAATGGAGAGAGCTCAAAGTGAATGCTGAATGTGTGTCGAACAAGGAGCAATTAGATGAAGCTGAAATAAAGCCAAATGCCTAGACTCTCTTCTGCTGTTCAGAAATACCGCTATGTAACTAACATTGCCACTAAGCAAACTAAATAAATAAACATATTAGTAAACACAGCTATTTCACTTCATCAAATCATTTTTGAAGAAAACTGGCTAACTACAGAATCTTAAAAGTTATAGAGGCTGGGAGTTCACTGACTCAATGTGACTACTGGCGTCAATTTGCAAACGGAAAGGAATCGCATGGTCGCCTTAAAGGGAAAAGGCAAATATTAAATCAATGTGGATTGTTTAAATAGAGTTCCAGAAACCATTTAGTGCTTGTCTCATTATAGTGGTCTGCGTACTACTTGCGCAATTCAAACTGCCTGCCTCAGAGAATGGCTTCTTGACGTAGCCATGCCCGCCCTTTGCTGCCCGACAGCCTGTGCAGCAGCACGACAGAACAAGGGGCTTTAGCAAAGCACAGCCTGGTGGGAACAAAACAAGGGTATTGCCAAGTTTTTCACTTCAAAGAGAGAAATGCAGTAGTGGCATTTTATTCTGCCTTGTAATTCATCAAAATGTCGTTTCCTGTCATCTGTAGTTGGAGTACTTGTGATTACTTGTAGAAAGGCCCTTCCACATCAACGGAATTGTGTTCTAGAATGTCCCACTAGTGGTGCAATGACATATTAGACATCCTCAAGCACTGGCCTTTCAGTCTCTCAGAAGTAATTTTTTTTTCCATACTTTCGGACACAATAAACCAAACAGAAAAGAGCTTTCCTCAGATCTCTAAGCATCAGGACGGAAATTATGCTAGGATTGTGCATGTCACTGAACGGATACAGATCATTTCCTTTTTAACTAAACGGTCAAGAAGCTGTTTGTACAGATGTACACGCTGCGTGCGCCGCATAAAAGTTCATCATACATTCCGTAGCAGGACTGTTTGTTGAGGTTCACACGACATTCTGCACAAAGGGCACTGTTTGTTAGTCCTTAACCAACCGGTGATGCAGTACCAGCAGTAGATGTGGCCGCAAGGGATCACAGATGCATTCTTCGCGGCGTCGACACACATGCAACAGTTGTATTTCGATGACGATTCGGAGTGGACACCGTCGACAACCCCAGATGCCTTGAGCGACCTGACCGCCGAGTGAAGCGACACCCCGAACTCGACAAGCGAGAGCCAACCTAGCACTTTGTAGTAACGCGCAACATCTGGTGTAGAAAGCCAGTTTCTTATGAGCACGTATCTGATTCCGGTCAACCTCTTGGCAGGACTGTAGTATCCGCCGAGGAGGTAGAACAGGATCACGTGCACTTGCAACGCTCTCGTGACAAGCGTGTTGAGCGCTTCTCCGTCGACCGTGCGTCGTTTCTTGACGAGCTTTAACGCCCTGTCGATCAGGTTACCTCCGAATGACTGCAGGACCACAAATGTGAGCCTCTGAGCGAATGTAGGGACTGTCTTGAGGGTCCGGCCCAGCTGCAAGATGTGCACGTATTCCTCGCCCAGTGTTTGGTAGCCGCTGAGCGTTGTCGCGCAGTAGTACACTAAACTGGTGAGTGCGTCCACCTCCAAACGCCACCTTATCCATCGCCGCATTCCGAGCACAGCTCGGGTGACTTCCGACACATCTTTTTGCAGCGACGCGATGTGCTGTTCGTCTTTCTGGTGAGCCCGTAAAATCTCGGGTTGAAGCGCAGGCTTAAATCGAGACATTTAGACGTAAATTCTGGCAGCTGTCACGCGACTTCACGCATGCGTTCGCCCAGGTAAGAGCAAGGGAAAAACTTCTGGCGCAGTACACAAGAATGAGGATACTTTCATTTTCCGCGTCGAGAATCATCGAATCTAAATCCAACAGCTAGTCGTTCAGCCAACAGCAGCCAGTACGTAAAAATGTCTGCGTAATGATAGATAGCTGTCACACGAACATTAATTATTCTTGCAATTTTTAACTTTTGAAGCACACACATAAATTTAAAATAACGTTTTAGTAGCTAAATTTTAATAAAAGTGTCTAAAGTGTGTTAGCGCAAATCAGTTGTCTGATAGTTTTGCGTAAAAATGTCTGGTTTCAAATAAGCCTACTTAAACGGGGAGTGCCCGGACCGAGATCCAAAAAGTGAGGCCCAAACGGGGTCAAATCCGCTAGTGGCGCTGCGATCGGTAGTCTGTGACCTGTCGTCGTTTTAAGAGCCGTGCGCAGCTCCGCCGAAGTGGTCGAGGGGTAGAATGCTCGCATCCCACTAAAAAGACCCAGGTTCGAATCACCGCTGTGACCATAGATTTTTTTTTTAATTTCACGTGTACAACTGTATTGTTTGGCTTTTTTTTTTAAATATGCCTTCAGTTTCTACATATTGCTACAAAACATTACGCGAGATATGAAGTAAAGGAGAAAAAAACTTGACAGCAAGCGCATTTATTTGCAGCGCCACCGCACGGGATTCAACGAAAACTTAAAAGCATAGCTTGCGAGATTTTAGCGAATAAAAGAGAGACGGTGTGCTTTCACTCGCCTGCGGTCGCCGCCCACTGGCTCGCTTAAAAAAAGAAAAAGAAAAACTGAAAGTAAACGATTTTCAGTCGGCGGGAAGTCGCGAAGGTTTGAATACTGGTAAAGCAGCGATGTTCTGTCTGCTCGAGTTTTCAGTGTTCCTCCTCACACTAAATGCGTAAGATATTGGCGTGTAACATTAATAAAGCTATCACGAGGTGTGCGGAAACAGACAGGTGAACGTGTTCATATTTTTGTGGCAGACGATAAAAAAGCGCTGTCCGCAGTGCTCGTGCGCGAAACCTCATAGTTGCCGCAGCGGGCTGGCGGTGTAGCCGAGCAGACGACACGCGTGTTCCCCTTCAGATGTGGACCCCTCTGTACAAGTGAGAGTCTCACGTCCTGTTACACCTTTCGCAAATGAAACCAAAGCGGCAGGGCAACTGCTGTGTGCCCGGCTGCGGGGTTACCTACATAGGATCTACTGAAGGCAGTAAGTGTTCGCTATTCGCCGTTCCAACATCTCCGACCCTGAGGGAGAAATGGGAGTACAGCTACGCTTGCCAAGAGGGCACATGAAAAGTTCAAGTGTGGTCTGCGAGGCACATTTCGAGCCGCATCATCTGCTTCGAGACTTCGTGCACATTATAGGCGGTAGAGAGGTCAGGTTGCCCCGTGACCGGCCAAGCTTGCAGTCGGAGCAGTGCCTGTTATACTGAGTGGACAACAACGTTCCGACGGGGGTGACCAGGTGACTAATAATTCGACAAGTCGTCAGCATGCCAAACAAGATGCCCCCGGGCCATCAATGACCAAGTGCGAAGAGAAAAAAAAGGTCCTCTAGCGCTGCGAGCTTGACAGAGAGGCATGCAAAGTGTGCGAAGGCGGCAGCGAATCCCGTGATGGACTGCAATGTGGAGACACAAGGCGGTACCACGAATGAAGGAAGACGTTCCCTTCTTACACTGACGATGCCGTCAACCTCCAGATGGACAGCCCTTCAGTTCCCGCATGTTGATGGTGTCTTCTATGTCACCTCCACACTAATACCGCCTTCAGAAATATCCCATGACAAAGTTATATTCCTGAAAGAAGAAGAAGACGGACTTCTCTGCCGAACACATATAAACGGCAGTCCTTACGACGAAAAACGGGCTCTATCTTTCGCACAGGCAGAGGAACATATGCAAAAAATCGACGCAGCTTCTGTATGCCCTGGCTCCATAAGGAAAAATGAACCTAATGATGGCCCACTTGAGACATTTGCCTCTGGACGGAACTTCAGATGCCATGGAGGAGCGTTTTACAGCAGAAGCTGTGAAGGTGTTGTACCTAACGGAGGTAAGTAGGTCTATGTACTTCACCGATACGGACAGAGCTTAAATTAAAGCGTATAGGAGAGGGACGTTTTGATAAAATTTATGGTGATTTTGAACGAGTTGTCAAAATATATGCAAGGAAACGACATTAATATGCACATCTTATTTCCATTTGCATGTTTTAATTGCTAACGGGCAGGGGTGTTTCTCTTACAGAGGTATAAAAAAAAAAGATCGCACAAGTTTACATTTCATGTGTGCAATTATTATCACGAAAATAAAAGAAAAAGAACTCGAGTGAAATTTATCACTGTTTAACACTACTGTGAGTTAATGTTCTTCCCATTACTCCTCTCAAATCGAGAAAGCTTGATGGTTGACGGTGCGTGCGTGCATATGTTTGTGTGCGTTAATGCGACTGTTTGTGGGTAGGCGTCTGTGTGTGTCTGTCTGTGGGGCGTAAACATGTAATCAGACCTTTTTTTTTTAACTGTGCAGGTGTAAATGCCGTCCATGCGCCAAGGCAAGGCTGTCCCTGATTAGGAAAAAATGTAAGGTGATGCGTACCACTGCTGCTACTGGTGCCACTTCTGCAAAGCGAGCCATTTGTCGCCAAACGAAAACCTTGAGACAGCAAAATCGCCGACTGCTTGGACGGGTGTCAAACTTGAAATCAAAACTGAGAGAAATGGTGAAGCAGAACAAAGCTATAAAGGAAGGCACTTTTGAAGAAAGTATTGCTGACATGCCTCCAAAACAAAGAGAAGCAGCACTTCATTTTTTCCGCGCTTCCAAACGAGCGAGTACCAGGGGATTAAAATTCACTCAGAATTGGATCTTAGAGTGTCTGCTCATGAAGATGAAAAGTCCAAAGCTTTACAAATACATGAGAAGCAACAAGATCTTAGTCCTACCAAGTGAAGACACCTTGAGGAAATATTTGAGCTCGTACAAGACAGGGTTCGGTTTCTGCACAAGGGTCCTGAGTGCTCTAAAAAAAAAGACGAGATCTATGGACGCCTTTAAGCGACACGGAGGGCTGCTAATTGATGAAATGAAACTATCTGAACACTTGTCAGTCACATCCGCCGCCACTATTGAAGGTTTGGTTGATTTAGGCCATTTTACATCAAAAAAAGATAAATGTGAGCCATGCGACCATGGCATGGTGATTATGTTTGCACCTTTCACCGGCAAGTGGACACAAGTATTAGCAGTATTCGCAACACACGGGAACGTTAAAGGAGAGCTCCTCGCGAAAATTCTAGTGGAGGCTGTATTGCTTGCAGAAGATGCCGGTCTTTTCGTGGACTTTGTCACTTGCGACGGTGCGACATGGAACAGGAAGATGTGGAAGGTACTTGGAATCGAAGCAACGTCTGAGAACATTCAATGCAGAATGAGGCATCCCAAAGACAGCAGTCGCTACGTCCACTTCCTTTCGGACTTTCCGCATCTCATAAAGTGTCTTCGCAACAACTTGCTCCTCCACGACTTCAACACTCCAGATGGGCTGGTAGGTTTTCAAGCTCCCATTTATTCCTTTTTCTTCTGTTGTTTTATTGTTGTGTGTTTGTTATAGAACTTGAACGAATGCTTTCCGATAATTTTTGCGTTTATGTTATGGAGATACACTTCGTTGAGAAATGTATGCTTCGCGTCCAGTGGTTCATTGGGTAAATGTCAATGTAAGATAGCACTCACTCACTACAGTTGAGGAAAACAAACTGGGAAGGCTGCCGGAGCGCCGCCATAGTCCTCTTTGTGGGCTGTTGTTACCATGAGTGACACTCCCCCTCCCCTCCCTCCAAGAAAAAAAGAAAAAAAAATGTCTGCTGAACTTGAGATGTCGGATTTAGGGCTCCCATGCAACAGCCCAGAAGGGATGGGGTCCTCGATCCTCTCCATTCAAAAAACAATAAAAGAAAAGAAAAGGTTTGTAGACGTTTTAGTGCGACAACGTTAGAACTGTATCTACAAAATAAAAAGAATCCTGTGTTCGAGTGGGTTTGGCGGACAAATTCGTTCGCTAATTCTGGAACATCGCCAAATCAAGTATACACACACACACACACACACACACGATATATATATATATATATATATATATATATATATATATATATATATATATATATATATATATATATATATATTGCCACGAGGCCACCCATCTTTTCACCGAGACCTACTAACTTCTCGAGATCCATGGTGTCTCGCAAATAAAACCTTGCCACGTGCACAAAATATCTGCCTAAAACGGTCTATCGGAACACTCTCTGCTCACTCGCTAACGAGAACAATGAGCAACACACAGAAATCGGACCGATAGCACTATCAACGACTCGAGGCTCTTTCTCACTACTTTGGACACACCGTGCACCATATATATGGTGCACGGTGGTTATATATGGTTATATATATATATATATATATATATATATATATATATATATATATATATATAACATTATTTTGACACTTTACAATAAACTATTGCTATATGCTAAGGAAAGGCCTTTGCTCAGCAGGAGGAAGAGTCGGGAATGATCCGAGATTCGTAAACTGTACGAATTTGTCCGCCAAACCCACTCGAACACAGGATTCTTTTTTATTTGTAGATACAGTTCTAACGTTGTCGCACTAAAACGTCTACAAACCTTTTCTTTTCTTTTATTGTTTTTTGAATGGAGAGGATCGAGGACCCCGTCCCTTCTGGGCTGTTGCATGGGAGCCCTAAATCCGACATCTCAAGTTCAGCAGACATTTTTTTTTTCCTTTTTTTTCTTGGAGGGGGGGGGGAGTGTCACTCATGGTAACAACAGCCCACAAAGAGGACTATGGCGGCGCTCCGGCAGCCTTCAGTGGAAAAGTCTATACTTCTTACGACGTTAGCTTTCGTTTGACGAAGCCGCACGCCACCTACCGGCATTGAGCATTGGACTCGGTAGTCGACCTTTTACGTACCGTATGAAGCGTGCGGCGATGTTTCGTTTCATGATTTCATGGCAGTAACCGTCTCCTTCCAAGCTTGTGCATCGGCCTTAGTGGCGGATCCAGGGGAAGGGGGGGGGGGGGGAACAGGGGCGATCGCCTTCCTTCCCTAAATTTCTGTCAGCGCTCCTCCCCCTCAATTCAATGCTCGCAGTCCACCTCCTATCACCAATTAGGACAAATGAGTGGAACCCCTGTGAGCACATAGTAACAGTGTTGGCACAACGAAGAGGTTTTTCTGCTAGTAAAAAGAAAAATTCATTACCACGCCCCCCCCCCCCTCCTGTGTTACTTAATGTGACCTCCCATCTCAAATAAGTGGCTAGATCCGCCCGTGCTCACACGGTAACTTCCTTCGTTTACCGCGTCTTTACATATCATGAATTCACTTGTTATGGAAACCTCGCCCGGAAACGGTTCCATTTTGTCCGGGTGACATTAGAGGAGGCTTCATGTCAGAACCCCCTAGCAGATTTTCACATACGCAGGATTAGATTGGTGGCATTAACGATGACCTGATATTTTTTATTCGTTGCCTCGTTAAATATTTGAGCCCTTGAAGAGCCATAAAATTACTTCCTCTAGTTGAAGAGTTTCCGGGTTTTACAACATAATTCGAACTTCCCCATCAATTGTTAGAACTAGTTTCAATTACATATGATTTATGTTTCAGGTCTCCTTGGACGCTGTCAAAGACGTCTACGCAATGGATGGGAGCATCGTGACACTTCGCGTGATGCATGGCATACGGGAGGCCCACCTCAATCCGAACAACTTTGAGAAGATGCGCGTCCCCTACGCCTACCAATTGTTCGGTCCACAAGTGACCCGTGGTCTGCGGTTCTACCAACAAGATGTCGAACCGTCGAGACGCAGCTGCATACAGGCGACTTTGCGGTTCTTTGAGTAAGTGTGTCCGACATCCTAATTGTGTTGGTATTAACAGCAAAGCTTACGATATGTTTGAAGAGGGAAGTAGAAGGACATATATGTTTGCACAGCTGGGCACTTGAGCATGCAATATACACTAGAGCGAGTGTACCGTGCTGAGTGTGTGTATATATCAGAGTCACCTGAAACGGCAAGCCTAGGAACTGTCGTCCACGGACACCTCATTACTACGGCGTTTTGTTCTCCTTGTGATATATTGCAGGACACTTCGAACATGCTGCAAGGGAAGCCTGTGGCATGTTCCGAAACCACATAAAACGCTCTTATAGGTTATTCGAACATCTTACTAGAATGTTAAGCTCACAGGGATAAACAAATTTTCCTCTACGCAGATTATAACATGTGGCATTTACTGCGTTTCTTGTCGCCCAAACCCCCAGCGTTTCTTTCAAACTTAGTAGTAAATTTCGCAACGTTACCTGTGCTAAGTTGTACTCAGTGTACATCTGTCCGTAAACCAAACAGCATAATTATATCATACTATTAATTTGGCGACACCTTCATGCACCTGAAATAGTGAGGCACGAATCCCCACGATGGCATGCAGTGTGATGTGCATTGCGCGGTCTTGGTAAAATTATCTTGCACACGTACAAATACATAAAACGGCGTGCAGAGAGTAACGTTCTTCTTATTTTCTTTTATTTTATGCAGGATGATAAACAGCATCATCAACATCATGTCCTCTCGGTACGCGAGAGTAGCGCTGCGGTTGAACTCAAGTGCGGTCGACTGCCTCTACACCTTTCTTGCGTACTTGACTGAATGGGAGTCGCACGTAAAAGGCACGCGGGGCTTCCTTAGTCAGTCCACAGCAGCAGGGTTTCGAGTAACCATCAAAGCACCTTGCTATTGCTGGAATACCTGACGACGGAAGTAGGCTATGCCTACCTGATGACAGCCCGGCTCAACCAAGACCCCCTGGAGAACACTTTTGGTATAGTGCGGCAGTGCAGCGGGAATAATGATCATCCTACGCCGCAGCAGTTCCTCGACACAATGGCATGCATCAGCTTTTGCAACCTTGTGCGCTCGCCGGACAAGGGCAATGTGACTCCTGGCACACTTGACTCTCTTTTGTCCCCTATACTGTGCTCGCCTCCGTCACCGCCACCGCAGACCTCCGGCTTCACTCATGCACTAGATGAAATTCACTTTGAAAGCAATGAAAACGACATGTTGGATGATGTGGTGACACATGAGAGTGACCATGAGGCATACGTGTCTGTCAGAAGTGACCGCAGACTGGTCCACTACATAAGCGGGTATGTTGCAAGGAAATGCATCGTGCCGTTGCACTGTTCTGCTTGCGAAAACGACTTGTTGACTTCACGAGAATCTGAAAGTGCTATCGCACAGTTCACACAACAGTGTGATTACGGGGGCCTTTTGTACCCATCTTCGACCTTGTCCAACTTTATTGGTTTTCTCGAAGACACTTTCACTGAATGTTTTAGCACTCGCCGCGTGCACCATGACAGCATCATGGATGTGATAGAGCTTCTGAAGGTGAAAAAAGCAAAACTAATTGGATGCGAGGAGCACCGTGAACATGTCACGGCACGAGTGGTAGGTTTTTATGTGCTGACAAGACTGAGATTCTTTGTCAAAGCCTTGAATCGTGCACAGCCATCTAGGCGGAAGTCTGCACAACAAAGAAAACAGAGCAGGTGCTCGTAAGGAGCCAGGGTTGTTTATAAATGAAGAAGTGGCCATCAAAACAAATTCATTGAAAGTTCGGTTTCGATGTGCATTGGGAGTACTCGTGCAGTGCTACGTAGCTGACATATCAGCGATCAGAAGATGACAACGAAAGAATGGACTGACTTGCCCGCCGTGCTTGCTGTGCTCTGTGTGGTTCGGTGTTATTACACTCGCGAATAGTCATTTTACGTGACATATTTGTGGTGGAGCTGCTGGCTCTTCCCTGTACCCATCACGAAGCTCCACTTCGGACGTATCATCACGGGTCCAACCATGTCACAGGTTCAAGGAACATCGTCTTCACCACCCGCCTCTTCTGTGACTCCTACCTACGTTGTCGTATACCTCCTGCTCGTGATCCTGGCATATTTCCAGGATATATAGATCGCTTTGACGTTAGATATATATGGGGGGTTTAACGTCCCAAAACCACGATATGATTATGAGAGACGCCGTAGTGGAGGGCTCCGGAAATTTCGACCACCTGGGGTCCTTTAACGTGCACCCAAATCTTAGCACACGGGCCTACATCATTTCAGACCGCATGGGAAATGCAGCCGCAGCAGCCGGGATTCAATCTCGCGACCTGTGGGTCAGCAGCCGAGTACTTTAGCTACTGGACCACCATGGCGGGGCACGCTTTGACGTTGACAAGTGCCTTAACGTGTACGAACAGATCAGCGCCGGCTATAGGTGGGCCCGACACTCATGCTCGCCAACGTGTTTCTTTACCTTGATGGCCCACTGCAGATGTGGTTCCTGTAGGTTATTCGAACACGTTACTGAAATGTCAAGCTCACAAGGCTAAACCAAATTTCCTCTACGTAGAATATATAGTGTGACATTTACTGCGTTTGTTGTGGTTCGAGACGCACGAAGTCGACATTGCCAGCTGGGACACTTTCAAGGAGACGATCCGTGACCTTTTCGGCGACACTGCTGCACGGCAGACGACTGCACTAAATCAGTCGGCTACTCGGGTATAGGCGTCTACCGAATCGGTAGACGTCTCACGGTTACCCAGTTCTGACGAAGCCATTTTCGAAGTATGATTGGATCAGACCTTTCGCCTGATCAGGCCGATGCTCTCTGTCAGGTTTCGGACTCGATCACGGTGACATTTTTGGTATCCGTGGTCATCCCTTGGGCCAGACTAATATTGTCAAGCACCTAATTAACAATGGTGACTCTGCGCTTATCCACTGTCGGCCTTGCCGCGTGTCCGCATCAGAACGAGCAGTGATTCAAAAGGAAGTGGCCAAAATGCCAACGAAAGACACCATCGAGCCATCGTCGAGCCCTTGGGCCTTCCCAGTGGTCTTGGTAAAGAAGAAAAGCGGCTCCTGGCGTTTCTGCGCTAGTTATCGGCACCTCAAAAAAATTACGAAAAAAAAAAACGTGTACCCTCTTCTCCGTATTGACGACGCACTTGACTGTCTGCATGGCGCCACCTTCTTTTCATCTCCCGACCTCCGATCTGGCTACTGGCAAATTGCTGTAGACGAAATGGATCGTGAGACAACTGCATTCGTTACCCCCTGACGGCATTTACCAATTCAAGGTCATGCCGTTTGGCCTCTGCAATGCCCCGGCAACCTTCGAGAGAATGACAGATACGCTACTTCAAGGATTTAAATGGGCGACGTGCTTGTGCTACTTGGATGACGTGATAACTTCTCACCCACCTTCGCCACACACCTTGAACGCCTTTCTACCATTCTATAATATTCCGCTCTGTCCATGATGTTCTCAGTTTCGTGGGCCTCTGCTCCTACTTTCGGCGGTTCGTGAAAACTTTGCGGCACTCGCACGGCCACTTACCGACCTTCTCAAACAAGATGCCCCATTTCATTGGGGCCCTCTTCAAACTGACGCCTTCTCTCAACTAATTACCACTCTCACGACAACCCTATTCTTGCGCATTTCGACCCCGATGCTCCTACAGAAGCGCGCACAGACACGTGTAGTCACGGCATTGGTGCAGTTTTGGCGCAAACTCAGCGGGGCAACGACCGTGCAATTGCGTATGCAAGTCGTCTCCTTTCGAAATCTCAACGCAAATACAGAGAAATTTCATTCATTGTTTGCTGTACACCTATGACTTCTTCGCCAGTTGAACACAACTTATGCGGATACGCGTTCAACGAATGATTTTGTACTATGTGCTAGCGTGTTTTTTATGTACGTCACTAACAAGACAAAACAAACCACGACCACTTGCTTGCCTTCGGCATAGCACGCTATACTTAGGATTAGGAGACCTCACATTTAAGCCTGACTGCGAAAACTCCCGTAGCTACCATGCAACCGCGGATCATTTCATGTCTACATTTTTGGCATCACGTCTGAATAGAACCAACGCACTTTCAACAAAACAAAACAACAACGACGACGACGACAATGGTTTTGCGTGATAAAACTATATACCGCGTGAGGCTCGCCGTATTCAGTGTAGCACTCTCCCAATTACGACCACCTGTGGTTCTTAGCGCCTACATCTAAGAACGCAGGCCTCTATCATTTCCACGCCATCGAAATGCAACTGTCGAGATCGGGATGCGATCCTTATCTGCGGGTCAGCAGCCTCGTGCACATCAATCACCACTGTGCCATTGACATCAAAACCGATTCCTTTACAACTGTAATGGGCAGGCCTGGTTGGTACACTACTGGAATGGTCATGACGTATCTGTCATTCTTACCTTGTGTCACGCGTCTTAAGCACTGTTCCGTGCCACCCCATCCCTACAATAAACGCTAGTGACCATCGGCCGTATGCACAAAGTGTGCACCACTAAATATGCTTTCAAAAGACAAAATGTATACGTTGACAAAAAATAGTTGTACAAGAAAAGTACATTTGTATTTCAATACTACTTCATCAAAAGCACAGGCAACCGGCGCGCTTTAGTTTTGCCGTTTAGCTGCCGCTGAGAGAGTTGAAAACGATGCAGGCGCCAATGACGCAAAAGCTAAATACAACAAAAAGCGCGCCGATCACATATAGATGCGCCCGCAAAACACAAGCATTGGTTTGCATCATTTATTTTCGCTGAGGGCGGCCATAATTATAAGATATATGTTCGCAATATCAGTTGTACAGGAATACTACATATGTATCCAAAATATCAACACGTTCACCTCTTTCCGCACACCTCGTGATCGCTTTACTCGAGCAGACAGAACATCGCTGCTTTACCAGTATTCAAACCTTCGCGACTTCCCGCCGACTGAAAATCGTTTACTTTCAGTTTTTCTTTTTCTTTTTTAAGCGAGCCAGTGGGCGGCGACCGCAGGCGAGTGAAAGCACACCGTCTCTCTTTTATTCGCTAAAATCTCGCAAGCTATGCTTTTAAGTTTTCGTTGAATCCCGTGCGGTGGCGCTGCAAATAAATGCGCTTGCTGTCAAGTTTTTTTCTCCTTTACTTCATATCTCGCGTAATGTTTTGTAGCAATATGTAGAAACTGAAGGCATATTTAAAAAAAAAGCCAAACAATACAGTTGTACACGTGAAATTAAAAAAAAAATCTACGGTCACAGCGGTGATTCGAACCTGGGTCTTTTTAGTGGGATGCGAGCATTCTACCCCTCGACCACTTCGGCGGAGCTGCGCACGGCTCTTAAAACGACGACAGGTCACAGACTACCGATCGCAGCGCCACTAGCGGATTTGACCCCGTTTGGGCCTCACTTTTAATGCATTGGTGCTGCGGCCGGTCCGGGCACTCCCCTTGTTCTAGTACACTCTACTTAAACCAAGCCAAGCACTAGGTCGTTTGCATCATGTCGCAAGAAAATCGTTCCTCTGCGACTCAAACGAAAGATGGGCCCGCTCAGTCTGAAAACACAATTTCAGGCAAATCATTCGGGGGATCGGAAAGAGGCCGTAACCGTCAAGCCAAGGAGCCCATCATGGAGGGAGCGCTTGAAATAGGAGAGCACTACATGGTGCGTCGTAGCGACGACACTTGGCGTAAGTCGATTGTTTATGTCGCAAGAGTTTGGGAACTGTCATTGCGTGGTCTAGGTTTTCTTCGAGGCATTGTACTGACTTGCTCTGGCGTGCAGATCCTGCCGAGATTATCCAAGTTCGCCCGTGCGATCACGATGTGGGAAAGTGGGAGTACTACGTTCACTACGAAGGATGTAAGTGTCAAAGTCAA